GAGTTTCTTGCCTCCTTCATCTGCATCAGAGGGAGGCCTGGGCTCCTCTTTGTCTTGGCTTGACTTTACCTGAAAAGGAGCCAATACAGAAAACCTTCTGCAGTTGAGATCTAGGTTGGCCTATAGGGCGCAGGCTATTCCTTGGATGAGCAGGCTGGATTCTGACTCCCAAAGCCACTGACAGGGTCATTAGCAGGAACTATTTGCTAGAATTGTCCCTTCGTGGGTCCCTGCCAGGTCTGTCGCAGACCCCTGTGTGTGTGTGTGTGTGTGTGTGTATGTTAGAGGTGTGGTTATAATCATTCTGGGAAGAAATCTGTCAACCCACTTCTCTCCCCGCCGCCACCTGAGGCTTATAATGTCTTTAAAGGAGTGCAGAGTTTTAACCTTTTTATTTCATACATTGTATCTTTTTAAAATATATGTAGTCATTTTTAGGCTTGCAATTCTGAGCATTAAGTTCACTCGTGTTGTTGTACAGCCACCACCTCCACCTCAGAACCTTCTCATCTCCCCAAACATTAAACACTAACTCCTCTCCCTGCTCCTCCCAGGTCCTGGCACCTGCCATTCTACTTTCTGTTACTGAATTTGACTATTCTGGGTGTCTGACACAAGCAGATTCACACAGTACTTGTCCTTTGTGTTTGGTTTGTTTCACATTGCATAATCACCTCAAGGTTCAACCATGTTGCAGCATGTCTCAGTGTCCCATTGTATGTATGGGTCCGACGCATTTTATCCAACCCTCCTCCCTCCCTCATCTATCCTTCCATCCATCCATCCTTCCATCTGTCCATTCATCCTTTCATCAACCCATTCATCCATCCTTTCCTCCCTCCATCCTTCCATCAATCCTACCTCCATTCGCCCATCCCTCCCTTCCTCCATCCATCCTTCCGTCCATCCATCCATTCACCCACCCATCCATCCATCCATCCATCATCCACCCATCCATCCATCCATCCATCCACCCATCCATCCACCCATCTATCATCCACCCATCCATCCACCCATCCATCCATCCACCCATCCATCCATCCACCCATCCATCAGCCACCCATCCATCCATCCACCCATCCATCCACCCATCCATCATCCACCCATCCATCCACCCACCCATCCATCCACCCATCCATCCACCCATCCATCCATCCACCCATCCATCCACCCATCCATCCATCCACCCACCCATCCATCCACCCATCCATCCACCCACCCATCCATCCATCCACCCATCCATCAGCCACCCATCCATCCATCACCCATCCATCACCCAACCATCATCCACCCATCCATCCACCCACCCATCCACCCACCCATCCATCCACCCATCCACCACCATCCACCCATCCACCCATCCATCCACCCATCCATCCATCCACCCATCCATCCACCCACCCATCCATCCACCCATCCATCCATCCACCCATCCATCCACCCATCCATCCATCCATCCATCCACCCATCCATCCACCCATCCATCCACCCATCCATCCATCCATCCACCCATCCATCCACCCACCCATCCATCCACCCATCCATCCATCCACCCACCCATCCATCCACCCATCCATCCACCCACCATCCATCCACCCATCCATCCACCCACCCATCCATCCATCCACCCATCCATCCATCCACCCATCCATCCATCCACCCATCCATCCATCCACCCACCCATCCACCCATCCATCCATCCACCATCCATCCATCCACCCATCCATCCACCCATCCATCATCCACCCATCCATCCATCCACCCATCCATCCACCCATCCATCATCCACCATCCATCCACCCACCCATCCATCCACCCATCCATCCACCCATCCATCCATCCACCCATCCATCCACCCATCCATCATCCACCCATCCATCCACCCACCATCCACCCACCCATCCATCCACCCATCCATCCACCCACCCATCCATCCATCCACCCATCCATCAGCCACCCATCCATCCATCCACCCATCCATCCACCCAACCATCATCCACCCATCCATCCACCCACCCATCCACCCACCCATCCATCCACCCATCCATCCACCCATCCATCCACCCACCCATCCACCCACCCATCCACCCATCCATCCACCTATCCATCCATCCACCCATCCATCCACCCACCCATCCATCCACCCATCCATCCACCCACCCATCCATCCACCCATCCATCCATCCACCCATCCATCCACCCATCCATCCATCCATCCATCCATCCATCCACCCATCCATCCACCCATCCATCCATCCATCCACCCATCCATCCACCCATCCATCCACCCATCCATCCACCCACCCATCCATCCACCCACCCATCCATCCACCCATCCATCCACCCACCCATCCATCCACCCACCCATCCATCCATCCACCTATCCATCCACCCATCCATCCATCCACCCATCCATCATCCACCCATCCATCCATCCACCCATCCATCCACCCATCCATCATCCACCCATCCATCCACCCACCCATCCACCCACCCATCCATCCACCCATCCATCCACCCATCCATCATCCACCCATCCATCCATCCACCCATCCATCCACCCATCCATCCACCCATCCATTCACCCACCCATCCATCCACCCATCCATCCATCCACCCACCCATCCATCCACCCACCCATCCACCAACCCATCCATCCATCCACCCATCCATCCACCCATCCATCCATCCACCCATCCATCATCCACCCATCCATCCATCCACCCATCCATCCACCCATCCATCATCCACCCATCCATCCACCCACCCATCCACCCACCCATCCATCCACCCACCCATCCACCCACCCATCCATCCACCCATCCATCCATCCACCCATCCATCCACCCACCCATCCACCCACCCATCCATCCACCCACCCATCCATCCACCCATCCATCCATCCATCCATCCATCCATCCATCCATCCATCCACCTATCCATCCACCCATCCATCCATCCACCCATCCATCCACCCATCCATCCATCCACCCATCCATCCATCCATCCATCCATCCACCCATCCATCCACCCATCCACCCATCCATCCACCCATCCATCCATCCATCCATCCATCTATCCATCCCTCTATCCATTCATCCTTCCATCCACTCATCCCTTCCTCCCTCTCTGTCTTCCTTCCTCCTTCTGTCCTTGGTACTTGCACTTGGGCTGCTCCCACCCTAATGTTGCTACAAACACCACACGCAAATATCTCCCAGAGTCCTCACTTCCAATAAATTCTTTTGGATCCTCAACATCTTTTATGCCTGATGGGATGTGAAAACTTTATTCAGTGGTGGGGCTGTCCAACTTTTTCATGTGATGGCTTAATAAGGAGATATTTGCTGGGCTGGATTCAATGGTGGTGGAGGTAACTGGCCAGGACACTGGCCGTCTTGGGCAGGGAGCTTGCTCGGTACAACTGGGCTCTCCAGGCTTAGAGCTCATGCAGCAAAGGGAACCTGGAGTGGAGACTCTGTGGGAGTGGGCCATGGGCTGAAGTACCAATGGGCCTTGCCTCCTCTCTGCTCACACTCTGTCTCAGGCTGTGGCGCTGGTCACAGCTGCCTGGACTAGCATCTCACGTCACTGCAGTGGGCTGATCACATACTCTATAAAGCCAGTGTCAGGTTTGGACACCAGGGCAACAGGTAGTGACAGGGGTAAGCTACAGGACTGTGTGGGTCTAGGACCGGCACTACCACTTTGGGGAAGCTCTGGGAGACCAGCGTGGGCTGAGCTGAGAACCCATCTGGCAGGAAAAGAGAAGGAGGTGAGGATAGATGCTTTGAGGGTGAGGGAGGGTCTAAGGTTGCAGGGAGGAGGGATCGGCGGCCTTGAGTCTGTTTCTTGAGGCCTGTGACAGTTCTGCATTTCATTCCTATCAAAGTCCACTCTGTCATTAAAGTAAGTTACATTTCCTTGGGTAGCTGGGCAGGTTCACTTGCCTGCAAGGTGTGGGGAGACAGGTGTAGGCTGGGGATAGCCAGATGCTGTGGAGTGACAACGTGGGAAGTGACAACATAGCCACCTAGAGCACACTCACCGCTTCTTTTTCAAATGTTTTATTAATCTGTTTGGCCAAACAGGTAATGGAAACCGAGAATAATAATTTGCTAAAAAGTTTAGGTCATGAATGCCCCTTTCCTCCAGGAAATGAAAGACTCCATGGTAACAGAATGCACCATTGGCTTATGACAACTTTCAAAATAATGTTTCCATTTCATATGTAACAATGTAAACTTCAAAAATAGTAAACTCTAACCCCATCCCTCTTTACAGATCTATCACAGATAGAATTTTCTGGCAGACCTAAGTTGTGTGAGTAAACAGCCTGGTGCTTAAAAGTTTCATAAAAAGGTTTACAGATTCAGTAAATAATTTGTCGATCTTGGTCTTGAAGTAAAAGCTACCAGCAATTCCTCTCCCCCAGTCTACCTGATGTACACCTCCAACCGCCTTACATTTACATTGGTCACCAGCTTGTCACTTCTGTACACACACACATACATATATAGTTTTTGTTTCTAAAGATTTCTACATTTAAATTATAAGATGGCGCCAGTGACTTATAATGTCACCTCGCTTCACATAGGTAAAGACGAAAATTCTGTAGAAGGCACTGTAAATTCTCCTGCACGATCTTGTGAAGATTTGAGAAAGCAGGCCAGCTGGAGTTGGACTTCCCTTTCCTGGTACTCCATGTTTTTCATGTTCATTGTCCTCTTCTGCTCCACCTCCTCCCACCCCATCCCTCCACCCATCCATCCATCCATTCCTCTACCCATCCATCCTCCCATCCCTCCACCCATCCATCCATCCATTCCTCTACCCATCCATCCAGACTAACTGACAGCTATCTTTTGGTTCATTGAAATTCCTTAAAATTAAGAGTACAGCTCTGGTATAAAACAAAATATGACCTACTCTAGCTGAAAAATAATCACAGTGTACAATGTCGTTTTCTGTTGGTGAGATTCAGAGCCTGGCCTGTCAAGCTCGCCTGTTGTCCAAACTGACCCATGCGAGGCTTCTGTTGACCCACTTTTACACCCACTGAAGATGCTCTGAGAGGTTCTTTTCTCCTCCGTGGTGAATCGTACCCTTAAGTGGAAGGTCTGATGTGGAAAGTGCAAGCATTTTGGACATGCCAATAAATACCATAGAACTTACCGCAGATTACCAAAACTGTACAGGTATGTACACCTTACCCAACTGAGGCTTCTCTGTCAGGAACAGACCTCTAAATCATACCGTGGGGCGTCCCCAGAGTCCCAGAGGGGGTGGCCTCAGCGCGCAAAGGACGGCCGGGCTCTTCTGCTCCTGCTCTGGGGACCAGAGCCCAGGTCCCCACCGCCCTCTGCTGTCTCCTCTTTCTTTCTCACTTTGAGGCGTGTGAGCAGCTTGATCAAGCAGACATCCCACTCCTCCGGCAGGAGCAGCAGCAGGAAGCCCAGGCCAATGATGATAATGGCGATGACCCGGACGCCATTGAAGACTATCTGGCTGGTATAGTGATCGACCACTGCGGGAGACAGAGCACGAGTTACTCAACAGCCGGAGCGCCTGCCTTGTCCAGCAGATCGGGGACCTCCTGGACCACAGAAGCCTCCTGGGCAGGACTTTGTGCTGGTGGGCTGGGGTTGCCTCTAGTAAGTCCCCTTGAACTTAAAACCTGTCTTCTGGGCAGCCTTGTACTTGTCTATCGCCTCCCAAAACAAATTCAGCACCTGAGTCTAGACACTGATTTGTGTCTGAGAGAAAAACGAGTGAGGGCAAGTTGGGGATATGTGTGCGGTTAGATGGAAATACAGCAAAGTTTAATTCTAGTCACCTCTGTGAGTCAGGATTCTGAAAAAAAGTGATTTATGTTTTTGGTACTTTTCACATTGTCTGTCATGACATACTTTATTTTTATAATTTTAAAACAGAATTTCACAATATACGCACGTGTATGAAGAGAAAACCTGACCTGGGTCTTTGAGGATAATGAAAATGAATCCTTTTATTTTTTGGCAGCACTGGGGCTTGAACTCAGGGCCTCATGCTTGCTAGGCAGGCACTCTACCACTTGGGCCATTCTGCCAGCCAGTGGTGTTAATCGTGAGAGATTCTAAATCCTCTAGAGTCCTTACCTTCTACAGGGTTTGGTAACAGCCAGAGTCCCAGCTCATCCTAACAGGATTGGGTGAGGGGACAGAACAAGAGGCGGATTCAGGTCAGTCCCTAAAACTCCAGATTGCCGCTCTCCTAACAGCTGGAATAATACTTTGAGCACTGGGCTGTTGCTGTGTCCTGCTCGCTCTCTCTCTCTCTCTGACTAGCCCAGCCCAAGCACATCTGCAGCCTCCCTCCACAGGGGAGAGAGCCCCTCTCTCATCCCTCCCAGGAGAGAGCCTTGCAGACCTTGCTCACTGACTGAACACCTGGGGGCTGCTCGTCTGCTGAGCTGTGGCTTGGGTCTGTCATCCAGCTCCCTCTCCTCATCCTCAAGGTCTCCCTGTCTCCTCCTTCCTCTCCCCTTCCAGACTCCATTTCCTCTAGCAGATGGGCAGAGACAGAGTGAGGGGAGCAAAGTTCAAACCAAAGATATTGTCAGTAGCCCTTTTGTGGAATGAAGGCACCTCTTTATCTTGTCAAAATTCAGAAATACTTTAGTTTTTTTGTCTGTTTGTTTGTTGTGCTGGGCTTTGAATTCAGGGCCTATACCTTGAACCACTCTACCAGCCCATTTTTTGTGTTGGGTGTTTTTGAGATAGGGTCTTGTGAATTATTTGCTGGGGCTGGCTTCAAACCATGATCCTCCTGATCTCTGCCTCCTGAGTAGCTAGGATTACAGGTGTGAGTCATCAGCGCCCAGCAGTGCTTTAGTTTTTAATCTCAGCAAAGCATTCTGTGAATTCACAGGTAGGACAGTCAACTCAGAGCCTCAGGAGAGTCCTGAAGGCCTCTGTCCTCCGATAGGGCTTGGGGTCATCTTTGACACATTCTCAACCTCTTGTGTGGCAGGTGAGCCTTGAGGAATGATTCTGAGTGACCTTGCAAACCCTGGCTCCAGGAGATGGTCATGTGAGTTTCTGTGGTTACTGGGACACTGCTTTGGGCCATAACCATCACAACTCTAAAGGGATGTTGCACAGAACGTAGGGAAGTGATGGGACAGGTACTTTTCAGAAGCTTGAGCAGTCTGGGGCATTTTTGCCAGCTCTCCAGGGGCCTGGGGCCTCCTGTGCTTTGAAGAACCAACAAAGGCTGTTTCACTTCCTTCTCACATTGACCAAAACTGCACAGGCAGACCTGACCTTCAGTTGTGGGGCGAGGTAAAGGCCCAGTGAACTGAGGAGCAGCGACCACAGCAGCGACTCTGGAGTGTGTTGGACAGAGTTCAGTGTCCTGAGACCCTTTCAGGCCTTTCCACACTGCAGCCCCATGGCACCAGGAAGAGTCAGACCATGGTAAGGCAGATGGAGAGCCTGAGGGTGGCAGTGGTGAGGAGCCAAGACAGGGAAAGGCTCAGGAAGCTGAGGGCCACCATAGCAAGCAGAACCAGGGGCTGGACCCAGGAGGGGAGGCCAGAAAATAAGCTCCAAGAAAGCTTTGATGGAAGCAGCTCCAGAGCTCAGGGAGAGAATGTTTCTGGGTGGAAGAGGGTGGAGGGACTCACAAACCTGCCCTGGCTGAAGCAGGTACCCCAGAGGTCAGAATGAGGCCAGAGGATTCTGAGAAGAAAATCCAAAAATCAAAGCAGTATGAGCTTGGAAAGGGAAGGAGGTGAGAAGCAGGTGAAGAGCCTCCCTGCTGCATGTCAGCAACGGGACCCCAGGGCAAGACTAAGTAAGCTTCTAGGGTCTCTCGCTCCCTCACGTGAGGCAGAGGAAAGCAGCATCCATGCCTCTTAAAAGAGGTTGCCACATGCAAACTTCTCCACCAGAAAGACATTAGCAAAATTAACTTTTTTCCTGCCATATAATTTTCTACATCTATTAATTACAGTTGATGGGACTCACACAGCAGTTAAAGAATTGAGACAGCTTTAGACTTTCTGTGTCTTGAAGCAGCACACAGAAATCTATCCATTATGGAGAAAATATTGCATGGAACGAGCATCAGCATTTTCCCTACAGGATTTTTCTTTGCAGGAGATTACACATGCATTTTGTATCATGCACAATAAGAGTGTGTGAGTGTGTTTGTGAAACTGCGCAAGAGTGCGTGAAGGGTTGTGTGTGAGTGCTGTACATGTAGCACATGTGTGTAATTACGTCTGTATGATTGTGTGGTTCGTGACACAGATATAGAAGGTTTACCTGCGTTCACAGGTACACTGAGGACGATTCCGAGAGACATCAGCGTGGGGTACGTAACAGCGATTCCAAAATTTAATACAATATTGAATGCTGAAATGAAGAATTTAGGACACAGGAGTTACTCATGACTTACCTGACCTATCCAAGTCCAGATTTTCTGTGGGGCTGGAGATAGGAGGTACAAAGAGTCTGTGACTTTGGGCTTCTTCCCAGGACATGAGGTTGGGATTAGGGACAATCCCAACCTTCTGACTGGTTAGGATTCTCTTGGCCCTGAGCTTTGGAGAAGGGGAAAGGGACCCAGAAAAGTGACCAGTGAGAAAGCACTTGAGTAAGGGACAAGGCCCATCTGCCAGCTCTGCTTTGGTCCATTGCTGGCCGAGCTCCTGGGATGGCTGCAGGGGCAGGAGCTTTGGGTTTTCAGAGGACCTCATCAACGGTGATGGTGACGAAGTGATTGGCAGTACTTACTGAACACCAACACACAGGTAATGTCCTAAGACCTCTCTGGGCATTAACTCGCCAGCTCCTCATCAACTATGATTTTTGAAGCCAATAGTCAACACATGAGGCTGTCAGTCCACTGTCTCAAGTGACAATGACCACGGCCATTCTTACCACACTGACCATGAGCTGGAAAGATTTTATAGATCACAAAGATCTTGAAATCCAGCAGGAACTTCGGGAGGGCAAAGAACACTGGTTTTCTTCTTTAGGACACAGGTTTCCAAAGAGTCTTGTGTCTGTCATTGTCTGCTGGGGGCTCTGGACAAGGTGGGTGCCACTTACTCAATAAGAGAACTGAAAATCCACAAAGGTTTCCCCATGGAATGTCACCGAAGGAGCTCCAGTATTCCACTTTGGTGAAGTAGAGGATGACGGGGATGCAGGTGATAAAGAGGATGTTGAACACGCCCAGGATGGACAGAAATAAGGCAGCTTCTCCGAACTTTGCACTGCCCAACAGAAGCTTGAACAGAACCTGTCGGAGAGAGGAGGGGGTGAGGGCGCACCTTGGACTCATCTGAGCCTGAGTGCTGCAGTGCCGGCATGGTGGAGCTGGGCTGCACCATGGGGTCCCAGTAGTTTTGATGTTACTTGACTGCTAGTGAAGGGTGATGGGCTTGACTGGCTCCTGTGTGCACACACTGACACGTCTGTGACACCACGCCAGAGAGTTACTGCCTACAGCATCTTCAGGAGTCATGGGTCTACACATGTGATATAGTTAAGTTCACGACACCACATCAATTGGAAATATCTGCCATGATCACACATCCCCCAGAATTGAGCCCTGGCCATCAGAAACACAGTTTAACAACCACTGCCACAAGTGAGGGCTTTGGTTGCCAAGACATTTTCTCTAAACAGAAGATGGAGGGATTTTGCTATTCTCTGCTCCATCCTGCCATTCCAGAAGTGGCATGGGTTTTAGTGGGTTGTACTAAACTTTAGTTCCCTGCACCTGTTCTTGTTTGCACATCACTCCAGGTGCTCAGAAGGACAGATGGAGAAGAACAAGGGTGCCTGGAAGGAAGGTCCAGAGGCTGGGCTGAGAGATGCCTCATGCAGCTTGGTCCTGCCCCATGCTTGGTGAGCTGGGGTCAGCGTGAGTCTCTGCAATGGGTCTGGCTATGCTGGTTGCCTTCTTGCCCAGCATTTCAGAATGCTTCAGACAACACCTATGCAGGTGTATGTGCAGGCAGTGCAGGAAGAAAAGGGCATAGCTTCTGGCTGTCTACCTTCAGTCACTCTGGACAGGTTTTGGGCAGGAGGGGAGATGGAGACAGAAACCAGAGTCAGGATATTGTGCTTGTGTGGGCTGTGTTTCCCACATTCTCCGATCCTCAGTGGCACAAGAGAACTCACTGGACGGTCGAGCATCATGTGGACTTTTGGTGTTTTCTGCATTTGGATAGTGGCTTTGAACATCAGAATGGTGTCAGACTATCACCTACTCTCTGTGAGGTGTTCCAGAGAAGGCAAAGGACACGTGTGTCTTTGTGGGTGGTGAGGGCACAGAGCTGATAGAAGATAGGAAGGTAAAATTATTTCACTTTCCCCAAACCATAAACATGGCGCTCACAGAGCTGGAGAAAAATGCTTTTTCTTATGCTTTTGAACAGTGCTTAATTTTCTGTTTCCTACTACCTGGCTACAAAAGGCTGCTGAGCCTCAAAGCTAAAATCTGTCACCCGCTGAGTCCTCCAAGTCAGTTTCTAGGCCTGAAGGCCTGACGACATTTGCAGTCTTTATTAGACATCTAAGGAGGAGAGAGGGAGGGGGGAAGCAAGGCACAAGAACAACCAGGAGCCTTGGGGAATTTGTGGTGACTTAAGTCCCTACCCCATGTGGGAATAAAAATTTGTTGCCTCTAGACATGTGTTATGCCAAAAATATGTTTAATCCCTATATAATAGCACTTGTACTTTTGTGTATTCACCCCATTAATGATGAGTGAATCACTAGCTGGTGGCCACAAAAACTGTGTGGTCAAAGATTTACAAGACAAAGCCAAGCTAGTTATCCGAGTCTTCACTCCTTGTGTAGATAAGGTGGGAACTTATCTTCACAAACCATGGGCTCCATCCTTCTCTAGCGCCCACCAAACACTGATCTCAAATGCTACAGACACAGGGCTGAGCGCTGATGGAAAGGTCCCTTGGCCAAAGCCAAGGGCAGCTGCTCTCCTGGGCCCTGCCCTTGGTGCTGTCCACCTGCCGGGTGTGAACTGAACACACCTGCTCTTCTCAAAGCACAGGGGCCATGTGGAGCTGCCTGAAGTGAAGGGCCAGCTCCAGGGACCTGCTGCTCCTGCTGAGTGATGGGGCCAGCTCAGAAAACCCGCTCTCCATATACATGCACATACCTTGTAGAGGGCGGACATGGACGCGGAGCCCACCACCAGGGCTATGCCGATGACCGAGTGGCTGTGGAAGCCATCGGCATAGGTCATCATCACGATGCCAGCAATGGCAAGGATGGCAGCCACGATCTGCATGGGGGAGGGAAGGAACGGTGTCAGGCAGCAGGAGGAACTTGGAGGGGCCAGGTGGCCAGGTGAGGGAGGACGTTGGTGGGGTTCCACTGGGTGTGGGAAGTGGTGTCTCCCAGGCCTCCTGGGGGCACAGGCAGAGGTGGCTGCATGGTTCCTGTGGCTGCACGGAGCCAAGCTTGGCATGACTGAGGAACGGGAGGCGGGGGCAGCTTGGCTTAGCCTCAGGCCATAGGTTGGGCTGGTCACTGTGAGTCTCAGAAGTTTGTGATCATTCAGCCACAGGTTACTGGTTCAGGACCAGACTCGGGGGACAGGCTCATGGCTGGCCCTGGGAACTACCCTAGTTTTCCCTCAGCCTTCCGAAAGTATCTCATGTGACCTTGCTTTTATGTTTTCTTTTCTTCTTCCTTTTTTTTTTTCTGCAGTTGTGGGGTTTGAACTCAAGGCCTCACACTTGCTAGGCAAGCTCTCTACCACCTGAGCCACACCCCAGCCTTTTCTACTTCTAGGTTATTCTTCAGATAGGATCTTGTGCTTTTTTTGCCAAGGCCAGCAGAGGATGGAGATCTCCTATTTATGTCTCCTAAGTAGCTGGGATGACAGGCATGCACCACCATGTCAGTTTATTGATTGAGATAGGGTCTCACTAACTTTTTTCTGGGCTGGCCTTGAACTGAGATCCTCCAAATCTCTGCCTCCCAAGTAGCTGGAATTACCAGGCATGAACCACTGCGCCTGGCTGCTTTTATGCTTTCTTATCTCAACAGGGGGCACACAGTGGTGATAGCAGATCATGTCCCCATTTCACACGCCAGCAGAAGCCAGGCAGGGCTACAAACAGCATCCTGACCTGGAGGTGAAGCCTCCTTTCCTTAGTGGCTGTCTGTCCTCCTCTCCCTTCCAGGACTTCTCTCCTGGCTAGACAGAGGCTTCCTGGATTGAGACACACTGGGACAGCATTTCCAAGAATAAGAGCTCAGCATGCAGGGCAAGCGGAAAGACCAACCTGAGGCAGCCACAGAACTGCACAATGTCAGGTGCGGGGTGTGCATGCTGTCAGCCTCAGTGGAACAACTGTGTGCCATCAAGTTTCAGCCAGAGTTCACCAAGAGACTCATCCCTGTGACGGATCATTCGAAATTGACAGCTGTCTAAATCATCACATAGCTAAGATTTCCTGGGTGGTCCTCAGAGAAGGGTTTTCTATATATTTCCTCATTTTATCCTCCAAGTAGGACATTGCCATTCATGTCATTTTATAGGCATGGCAAGGTAGGCTCACAGAGATTAAGTAATTTGCCCAAAGTCACACAGATGCATCTGGAAGGGAAGGACACAGACTTCAGGTGTGACTGGCTGCAGAGCTTGTAATCAGTGCAAACGGGAATGTCTGGCTCACAGAGGAGGCTGTTGGCAGCCGTGCTCTGGAAATTGAATTGAGGCTTCCCTGCAGTTTGCCTGTTCAGTCTTTAGGTTAGTGAAAGGTAACATGGCTGACTCTCACACGGTGTACCTGAGTCACACACTTCTTCTGCACACTTGGTGCAATATTCCCATATTGCTACATTTGCCCATGAAACAGGGGCCCTGGAGAGCAGCTGACTCATGCACCAGACAAGCCAGCTCTCATCTGCCTGCCAGCTTAGTAGTTCACTTGTGCTTAGCCTACTTTGCCCTGCATGGCAAATATTCAAATGCTACATGAACAGGGTGCAGTTCTTCAACCCAGAAAGAAGGAGGGATAGCAAGACAGTGACTGACTCCTCCCCAGAAGAACAAGGCAGTGGCAGGCGAAAACACAGGAGGGAAACGGATGACTTCTGCCCCATAGCATGTGTGCAAAGATGCTGCTTGAAACAGGTGTTAGAGACCTGGTGAGGAAGAACTCGGAAAAGAAAGAAGGGATGGGGTCGGGAAAGAGCCAAATTTCAAATCATTTGTGGCAACTCCAAATGTCCTTGACCTTCCCAAACTCAAGCTAAAGTCTGAGAAGACGAAGGAGAATGGGTTATCTTTTCCCAAAGACTTGCAGGGCACATTTCAACCTCTGCCTCTGTCTTAGCTGTTGACTAAGTAATGAGCACCCAGGAGCTCCGCTGGGTCAGAAGAGCGTGGGAGGAGCTGAAGGGGTCCAAAGGGAGAGGATGTGACCACCCAGCCCAAGAAGCCACAGGGCTTGGACAGGCAGCATCAGGGACAGTGACCTCCTGGGGTTCCCAGCACAAGCCACAGGGTGTGTGGACAGCAGCCCTGCTGAGATGCAAGGTGTGCTGGCAGTGCCTGCCTCACTCTGAGCAAAGGCTCAGAGCCTAAGTTCTTCCTCCAGTCAGAAGACTCCAGCTCTGCGAGGAAGGACGTGCCAGTTTTACACTTGCACCCTAACAGGTCTAAGTCTCTTGGTTCTCATGTGCAAATATTCCCCTACTTCCCAACCACCACAAACTCTGGAAGACTGGTCAAGTTCATCCTGTGATTTCACACACTGCACACGACTTCTCCACTCTGTGTTCCCAGGAGGTGCTGAGTCTGCGTGAAGTGAGGACAAGGCACTTCCCGCTTTGCCCACGACCTTCTGGGCTCACACCTTCCTGTCCTCTACTGAACTATACCAAGACACGGGCTGATGCCTAACAGAGGCCCTGAGACAAGAGCAGTGAGAGCTGCCACCTCTTCCTCTAGGGGGCCATGAACTGGAGACAGGAAAGAGACACACGCTGGATGCTGCCACCGACTCTCTTCAAGGTGTCTCACCGTGGTGGCTGTGAGGCCTGTCAGCTGGGAGCTGGGATCTGCGCCCCAGCATCTCAATGCTAGCAGACTGCTGCTTACTCTAGGCTGGGCGGAGAGGGGAGGTGAGAGCCCCTGAGCCTTCAGGAGGACACAGGAGGTGGGCATACAGTCTACTCACCATTCAGATCAGGGCTGTCCCCACCCTTCGCTCCCCAGTCTTGCTAAAAAAAGTGGCAGGCTGCATTTCTCTGCCACCGAACCTGTTCGCAGCAGATTGTTTAATTTTTCTGTTTGGAGCAGTTTGCAAGAAGGGAAGAACAGAGTGATTTTTAAGTTCTCTTCCCCAGTGCTGCCCTCCTGGCTCCTCGTGCACCATTCTCTACCCACAGAAGGAGTGTTAGCATCGGGGGGAAGTGAGGGACATCCTGGTCCACCCCTGCTCTCTACCCCATGTCCTGATCTCCCCCCATGCTGGACTCAGGTTGCCTCCCCACCTTGCAGAAAGGAGAGGCAATCAGGCGCTGTCCAGGTTTTGGTCCCCATGGAAACATGGAGCACAGTTTGATTCTTGAAAACAACAGCTGAAATCTGGTTGAGAGGGGAACTGAGCTTGCTAAAAGTCCCTGATCTTCAAGATACACTTCTGGGGCTCCAGGCCCATGTGGAAAACTCTTGGCTGCCTTCTTGCTCCATCCCGGTCCCTCATGGCTTGAAAGCCTCACCACGATGTGATGTGAGCTCACCAAGGGCTCCGAACAATGGAGGCTCCCATCCCCCACTGCCTTCTGACCAAGGCTAGGGTGTCGCAGGGAGTCAGATCATAGCTGGTGGGGGGGGGGCTCTGTGCCCCCGAGCTCTGCCTGTCTTTGACACACAAAACTGCCTCCCTAAGTGTTCGCCAGCCTCTGACACTGTCAAAAGAATCGCACTGGTCTATCCACCTCCCCTAATTGCGAAGGAACACACTGAGAAAAGTCAACATCTGCTGAGCTCCATGAGCCCGACACGCATCAGCTTATATTTCTGTCAGTGCTCATGACTGCCCGCTCTAAAGACCAGGTAAACAAAGGCTCAGTCTCCTATTCAAGAGCAGAGCTAAGACTCAGTCTCCCCACTTGACTGTAGCCTCAGCACAACGGCCACTGCTTAAGAACCTCTGGCCCTGGGCACAGAAAAGGCACAGGTAAACGGAGAGCCAAGGCCAGCTCAGGTCATTCGTACAGATGCCTCAGCAGCCTCTAACCCTTCTGTGCTGTGAGTGGCTGGGACCTCCCCAGCACCGTAAGGTTGGATCTGAACACCTGACTTTGACCTGCCTGTGCTCTCCAACAGCTGAGGCTGGTCATCTAAGTTGCTGTCCTCCTCAAATCATGAGTCTCCTGTGCAATTCACCCCCCACCCCTCACCTGCACAGCTGACTCCCAGGCTTTATGCTCAGCCCCCCACCCCCGCAGGTGGAAACCATATCAATGCCTTCAGTTTTTAGAAATTCCCAGAGCTATGAACACAAGTCTGCATGCAGGCTGAGAACCTTGTACAGTTAGGTATTGCCTTGGACCTAAACCTCCACTGGAAACATTCAGTGTCACAGCGGTTGCCCACTCTCTGGGCTCTGGAAGAGGAAAGGCGGGAAATTCCCCGTAGTCTGCAGCAGGAGGGTGATAGATGGCCGACCATGTGCTCCCAACAGGAGACCATGACTGCATCCCATCACCCATGACACGGACCTTCACTTAGTGTCAGCCTAGTGCCAAAGGGCATCAGCACAAAACTGCAGGGTGCAGGGGTCAGCAGAGACCATATAGGTCAAGCAGCCACGTGGGCAGACAGTGTCGTGGCGCCTGCTTGAAACCATGAGAAGATCTGAAAGGATGGCTGAGTCTGGGAGAGCCTCGAGGTTTTCCACACCTCCTTCTCTTAACCTCAAATCCATTCTGTTTTCCTCTGCTAGATGCACAATTAACCTTGAAGCTCTCTCCCGTAACAAGGTCTCATTTGGAACTTGCTTGAGAGAATCATGCCCCAAAGGCCATGAATTTGCAGGGGTTTTGCACGGAAATAGTGTCAGGAAGGGCCCAATGGGTGGCAGAAGCTCTGGGACTTCTGAGCCTTTGCCCTCGCCTCAGGCGAGCCCGGGTGAGTGGCTGCGGTCCCCGCTGAAGGCTTTTCTGGGTGGCAGCCCAGGGAGTGAGTGTTTATTCCAAAATTAACACTATGCCTCAAAACAAATTCTCCCCCTGCTGCAAGCTAAAAATACGAGCCAGCAGTTGCCTCATGTCCCCACTGCTGTCTGAGTAACGAGGTGGGTGTGAACCCACTCTTAGGTGGGCTCCCAGGACAATGAGGCAAGGACAGAAATGAGGGCCTGGACTTGGCTTCCCAGCCCCTCCTCCCCCCACTGGCTGCCAGCAGGGCTGGCTTTAATGGGGTGCTCATTGCTGGGCTTCTAGCACCCAGGCAGGAGAGAGAAAGCCATGGGCTGTCACCACAAAAGCCCCAGTGCTGTGGTCAACGCACTTTCTGAACTGGTTTGTGGCAAGGGGACGATGGACAGTAGCAGCTCCTGGTCACCAGAGGGAGCTAGGCAGAAGCCACTAGGATTCTGTTCTAGTAAACACCACCTGCGCTTTCTATCCAGGACGTCTCTGCATATGTCACCTGGTGTTATCATGCTTCATACAACCGTCGTGAAGTCTGACTAGCGTGGAATATCACTAAGTCTCTCTTGCAAACGGAGCAGCACAACGGATGTCATTCCTCTTGCCCTTCTGTGGCAAGAAGGGAGGGGCTCTATCGACACAGATCAGACTCAGCACAAGTGTGTCTGGCTCACTCAGGCTGGGGCACACGGTCCAGGCAAAGCACCACGATCCACAAGCACACAAGCAGACACCCAACGATCCTTAGGGTCTCTGTCCTAACCAGCGAGCGGCAGTATCGGCAGAAAGTTCCAGGCTGCAGGGCACAGTGACACATGGAAAGCCACCATGGAAAGGGGTGAGCAGGCAGGAGTGGGGCCCATGTCACTCCCTGGCTGGGTCCCCGCCTGGCACACACTTTAGGGAATGCTTGTTGAAATGCTTGAAATGAAAGGTGCTTTAATGAACACTTGTCAAGTATGGTTTGCAAGCAAGAAGGTTTACGAGGCAAGCCAAGAATGAGCCCTCTGCAGGCTCCTTTCCTGCTGCAAGTCAGGACCGCGGTTAGCAGCTGACACGCACGTCCAGCACAGGGAGCTAAGCAAGCCAGTGGCAGGTTTGGTGGCCATGAGCGAGTGAGGGAGGAAGACAGATAATAAGGAACTTACCCTCACTCCCATGAACCTGTCCCTGAGAACGATCCATGAGAGCAAGAACACAAACGCTTTGTTGCAGCAGAACAACACGGAGACATCCGTAGTGTTTATTTTCTTTATTGCGTGTAAGTACAGGTAGTTTGTGAGTGTCCAAAGAACACCGAAAGGGGCTGCCTTGGTAAAAAACACCTTCAAAGTCAAGCCATCATCTCCAAAAAATCGACAGCATTCCCTGGAACAAGGAGAGAGAGGCAGTGTATTACTGTCTTGGGCAGTGGTTTAATTTTTTAAAAGAAAATATAGGGAAAGGGCAGGGCGTCTTACCTGTCCTTCCCAGTGGACACTTTATACAAAACCTCCTGGACCGCTTGGTCCAATTGAACTGAACTGATGCCATACACTGTCCTTCTGTCTGTGTTAACTTTAGAGCCAGTGGTGTTACATGGAAGGTATATCAGGATTTTCTGACCTGAAAGCCCAATTCTGCGGTGACTGACTAAGGGATTCTGTCATTCACCGAGAAGAAAAGGAAGTCATAGACCTTTCTGTTGGGAGGCAGGGTGGAGAAGGATGGATATTTAAAACAATTTGCTCCCAATTGGAGTTGTCTTTGTGGTCAGGCACTTCTTGGGCACACTGAATACATTTTGGCTGTGATAAAAATAGTGTTAACTACTGGCATTTTCTCTGGGAGGTCACCTTTAGAGAGCTGTTCCACCATGTGGAAGTTCCCCATCTCCACATCTCTGAGCACCCACCCAGCCCAGGAGGGGCAGATAGAACCAGGAGATCAGAAACATAAGAGGAAAAACCTGTGGAAGAAAGTTTCCAAGCTATTCAGATTCTCCGGGGAAGGGTCGCTGGTGTTTAAAAAGAGTTTAAGGAAAGAGAAGCCAGTCTCCCCCCACCTTGCAGAAGAAGCCAGAAGGAGATCACAGGGGTCACACATGGCAAAGCCTGTGGAGGGGCCTGGTCTAAGGACAGCACCTGCTTAGCAGAGTGAAGGTCACTGCTCTGGTGAGGCCTGACAAGCCAGGTGAGGATGTGGACGACTGAGCAGGCAGTAGCCCCAGAGGGGTCCTTGTCCATGCTGAGAGATATGGTGCAGCTCGGCCACAGTGAGCGAAGGCAGCCAGAGAGGAAGGGAGTCAGCCCGTTAGCAGCTTAGAAACGGACCTAGGCCTAACCAAACCACCGTGAGAGCGAACCGAGAGGCATCGGTAGAACAGTCTGGTGAGGAACACTTCACGTTAAAATCCAGCATAAAAAGTGAAGATTAAAACAGGTCAAAGGGATTTGGTGAGATTTAAATTTTAACTCTATCATTTGTTCTCATTAATCTAAAACGTGATCTGTATTTTTTATTATTCAACCATGGGATGTCCACAGAAGCAGAAAAGGCATTAGAGCAGGGAGAGCATCGGGAAGACAGAAGAGAGAAACGCACTTACCGTTTGTGGAACATGGCACACCTGCCACCCACACTGTACTCAGTCCTGGGCTGCTTCTCAAAGCAAGCAGCCCAGGGAAACCGCTCAGGCCACTAGGTTGTCATTGAGCCCATTCACCTGAATGGCTTCCTTTTCGTCTGGATGTAGACGCAGCCCTCCTGTAGCGGATAGGCGGATGTTTCTGTTTGCTGTGAAAGGTTCATCCAGCATCTCAGCTGCGTTTAGAATGGGATTTTTCTCAATCCCCTAACGAGACCAAACGGACTGGCACCCTGCTGGGCCAGCCAGTCTTGTGCTGCTTTAGGACCAAAGAATGAGCACAAGATGGATGACCCATGTATGACCTAGAGGGCAACACAGCCCAAGAGAGGTCCTGAGCACAGGTCTGCCTCTGCCATGTCCTCTTCTTGGTATACAAAGACTAGAGTGCAGTAGATTTGCTCTGGATGGACTTCCATGGAACCGAGGAGTGAAATGCCTTCGTTCCTTCCTCTCACAATGCCCGTGCCCGGTGAAAGGTCTGAGTCTGACCTTACTCTCTTAGCACACCTAAGGCTTTTAGATCCTACCAACTGAGTCACAGGGCACCAAGACTTACACTTGTTTACAATCCTGTCTGTGCTGGTTGTTTCTGGGTATTTCAGTTGCATAATTTAAATATTTCATAAATCACCAGGTATGGTGGTACATGTCTGTAATTCCAGCTACTTGGGAGGCAGAGGCAGGAGGATCACAAGTTTGAGGTCAGCCCAGGCAAAGGTAATGGTGAGACCCTGTCTCAAATACACAGGAAGGGGGCAAACCGCCTGCCTACCCTGTGAGAGGCCTAGGGTTCAAACCCCAGCAATGCAAAAAAAACCAAACAAACCCATAAACCAATAAAATATGAGTGGGAAAATAAAGTTTTTTTCCCCTATGAAATCTACATTGAGAGCTTCAAAGAAGACTAAATAAAAACAAGTGCTGAAATATTGCTATTAAGTTATATAAAGAAATGTAAAAGATAGGACAGACAATAGAAATCTGAGTTCTGCACTCCTGCTATTTAGCAAACACTTTTGTTCCTGCTGCTCTTTAAAGAATCCCCACTGTGACTCCTGGAAGTTTAGGGAGAATACTCAAACCAGGTCAGGGGAATAGGTGGCCACCTTGCAAATGGTCTCACGGGGAACAGGTAATCTAGCTTCATCCAGAACTGCACCCCAAATCCCTTCTGAAATAGCATTTTTTGTCTTGACCCATACTGGGACATGTGCACGGGGGCCACTGATTACAGCTCGTGGGATTCACATGTGCTGTCACTCAGCAAAGGCCACTCCTAAAAACCACCCAGCACCCCCACCTGCCCTACAGTGTCTAAATTCCCACCCAAACCAAGGCACCTGCACTCTTAAGCTCTAGGTGCTTTTCTTAAGCGTCTCTTGCAGAGCTCACATGGTCTTTCCTTGAGCGGTGAACTTTCTTGCTTTTCTTGCTCTCTCTCTTTCTCTCTCTCCCTCACAGTAAGACTGCTACTCCTGTGCAATGTGTCTCCATCCAGCTCTTTGCTGGGGATGTGAAGGGTCTGAGGTCTTCTGGACCTGGGTTTCCCGAGACCACCCACCAATTACAGTGGCCTCAGGATAGTTTTTAATTTAATTCAAATCAGAAGGACTCGTTTAGTACTTGTTATGTTTTCAACTCTAGACAGAGCACTGGCACTGATAAGGACAAGGCAAGCTTCTTAAACTAAGTAAGCTTTCTTTTTTTTAATTAAGAAACTTTCTCAATTTTTTTTTGTGATTTTTTCTACTTTTTCCTTGTTTTCTCTTTCTGGGGGTTCTTGTGGTTTGATATTGGACTTCCTGGTTTGATCTAGTTATTTTTGAAGACAGGCTCTCGCTCTGTAACCCAGACTGGCCTTGGACTTGAAGGGATGCTCCTACTTCAGCCTCCCAAGTGCCGGCATTACAGACAGGCCCCTCAGGCCTGCTTGATCTTGTCATTTTATCTGCTCTTTCCTTTTACATTTCCCTCTCTCTCAGTCTCATTTTGTGGAGATTATCTTGAATTTACATTCAAAATCTTCTATTAAAAATTTAAATTTAGACTCATATGGTTATCTTATATTTAATTTCCAAGAGCAGTTCTTGATCTTGAGAGGGTTGTGGACAACCAGAAAGCCACGACTGATCCCGTGGTAGGAAGCAAGGCCAGCCTAAATATAACAGCCCATTAGTGGTGCAGAAGATAATAGTACCAGGGAATTACTGCCCAATGTAGTGCTAGGTTGATTGGATCAGGTCTCATTGAAAGACAGAGATTGTGAATTGAGCTTTGAAGGATAGACAGGATTTATACAGATGGAGGGAGAGAGAAGAGAAGAAACTGTCTATGAGTTAAATGGCTGTAAGAAGAGTATTATCTTGGAAATTTAAATATAGTATAAACAAATTCAAAAAATTAATAGAAGACTTGAATATAAATAATCCTCCATAAAATATGAGAGAGAGAGACAGAAAGAGAGAGAGAGAGCAAATTAGAAGTTCAAACTAGAAATTTCAATATTGAACTAAAAGAAGCCACCAAGCATAGTAACACATGTCTGTAATTCCAGCTACCCTGGGAAGCATAAATATGACAATCGTAGCTCCAGGCTGATCTGGGCATAAAGTGAGACTCTATCTCAAAAAACAAGGAACACAGAAAGGGCTGGCAGAGTGGCTCCAGTGGTAGAGCATCTGCCTAGCAAGCATGGGCCCTGAGTTCAATCCCTAAGTACCACAAAAAAAAGAAGATACATAGAGGCAGACAGACCAACAGACAGACACACAGAGACCGACACACAGACAGAGATAGAGACAGGTGAAGGGACAGAAAGTAATACTGGGACCAAACATCTCAACAACAATGATGGAGGCCACATAACCATAGCCCAATGCCTTTGCACTTTGGGAAAAAAATTTCCAGCCAGAGTTCTATAGCCAGTCAACCATCAATCCCACTTTAAAGTAGAATAAGGATATTTTCAAGGTGCAGTGCTGGACAAGATGTCCTCTCCAGCCACTGGAGGACACATGGCACCAACAGAAGGTACCAAACACCAGATGCTGGTGGCTCACGCCTGTAATCCTAGCAACTCAAGAGGTAGAGATCAGGAGGATCTCAGTTGGAAGGCAGCCCTGGGAAAATAGTTTTCAACACCCTGTCTTGAAAATCCCATCACAAAAAAAGGTTGGCGGAGTGGTTCAAGTGGTAAAGCGCTTGCTTAGCAAGTGTGAGGCCCTGAGTTCAAAACTCCAGTACTGCAAAAAAGAAAAAAGTGCCAATCAAGGAATCAGCAGTATGGTAGCAGTGGGTGGAAAAGAGGAAGAATCTCTGGCAGGATGTTCTGTGGCCAACTAGGGACTGTGACAGGCTATGGGAGGGCCTCTCTAGGAAGTCCTGTTAACCGAGCAAGAACAGGGAAAACATTGGTAGGTTTTTGAGACATTGAAATAGTTAGAAAAACAGCAATCATTAAACAGAACTCCAGGTGAACAGGTAAATAGCATCGTTGGCAGGAGAAACGAGGGGTTGTTCAGACCCCCATGCCAATGGCTAATTCCCAAAGGTACATTTTGGGGCAAACCTCAGACACCGTGGACTGTCCCTCCCTGGAATGCCCTCGTGGCTCCAACCTGGCACGCTCCCCTGTGGGTCCTCCCACCTCCTGTGCCTCCCAGACTTTCTCCACAAGTCCTCCCCAGCGTTTTCCAGGTTCTCTCTAGCTCCTCTCTCTACCTGATGAAGTCATGGAGCA